TCGGATAAGGTATTGAGACAAATCACTCAAAATATATAGATTCTAAATTATTGAGAAAAAATAAGTACATATATTATATATAATATACAAGAATGCAATTTTTATATATATATTTATATATATATACAACCTCGCATTGATCCGAGGAATGCACATCACGAACTTGTTTTAATCGACCAACTATGTATGATAATAGAGACACATTTTCTGCGTTCGCAATTGTATCCAAGTAAAAATCAATATATCTACATAAGAAATAAGTATATATTCATATTTTACCGTTATAAATTTAAAATTCAACCAAGTAATTAACTCACACAACAAATTCGTTTAGAGTATTTGGTTCACGGGAAAATTCAGGATGATGGGAAAGAAGGTGAATAAGTTGAGCTAGAGACATTTCCAAATGCATAGATTTGTCACCTAAATATATTTTTTTTCAAAAAAAAAAAAAATAAATATAAAAAAAAAAACATATACATATATATATATAGGAGAAACCATGCACTTACGAATCGTTCTTGATGCAAGAGAATATCTCGTTAGAAAAGCTTTGACCTAATTCGAAAAGAAATATTAACAATTTTATTATAAAATCATCGAATGACATAAAATCTTAATCAAGTTACCATTTCACGAATTGTTACATCTGGATCATGTGCGATTAAAAAGAATATAGTCAAAAATCGCGTGGTAAGCTGATGTTTGCCACAATATTTAATCAGCTGCGAAGCGAACGCAAAACGAACATTGTAACATGTATCCTAAATAATTATATGTGCAAAACCATTTCAGTTCTATACATATATATTTCTAAAGGTAAGATAATTATAATAATTAATATATACTTGTATCATTAGTGCTAGTTTTTGAAATTCCGTAATAGAAATCATTGTGTCGTAAATCGTTTTCCTTGCTAGTTTCAATACGGAACGAACAGCGGCTAATCGCAAACGACTCTTGTGTGATGGTCTTATTAAATAAAAAGTAAAGCAAATTTATTATCACAATAAACAATTCCTTAACACATGAAATATATGGTAGTTGATTACCTAGTGGATTCATCAGGAAGAAGTTCACCATCTTCTCTTATTAATTTCCAAAGCAATTTAAAAACTGGATTTGCTAAATCGAGTGCATTATCTGTATCCGATATAGCAAGTAAACGATTCACAAGAACTTTTATGCCTAAAACCTATTTACAATATTACAAATTAAATATTAATATATTAGTTAAATATCCATAGACATAAAATTGTATTATATAACAAAATAAATAGATATATAGGTCTTATCATAAGCATTAACAAAATATACAACGTAAAAGGAACATGAATTCGTTTCAGTGTAATAATTGACCTTCATTGATGTTCATTTAAAATTTCACAACTATTTACTGTAATAATACTATGATACCTAGTTAAATAAATAATAATTTGTAATTAAAGAAAGAAATAAATAAATAAATAAATAAAATACCTTTGCTTTACACTCATCATCGAGTTCATCATCATCAACCCATATGGTTTTGTCTACAACAATAGCCTATTTCAAGGTACAAGATACAAAATGAAGAATTAGAATTAAAATGAAATATATTATAAACTCAATAAAATCGTTAGATCTTTAACACAAACATTATGATTTTTCATAATTAATTCTTTGATTATGAAATTCGTAATAGTATCACTTTTTTGTTCATAAATCGTGGGCGTATAAAGTGCACATTGGCTTAACGCTGAAAGGTATGATATTATTTTTGGTGAATTTACCAAAAGATTGGGAATAATTTTCTTGAGAATTTCAAAAAAAAATAAACATTAATAAAAAGGAAATCGATAAATAATAAACAAAGTTGATACAATAAGAAAATCGTAGTTTACGTTAAATAAATCGTTGCATATTAGTTGCTTCTGAACATGAATGAGGATTATAGACGCAAATTTAGCTTGTCGTGAAGACCCATTTAATGCAAATTGTATATAGCGCTGTATAGTTTCTCTGCGAATTAAATACATTAGTCGATTAAAAAGTATAAGAAATGGCCTTCAGGCTCAAAGTTCTTAAAAAAAAAAAAGTATACTAACCTATCATGAGGTACTTCATCGGGAAAAGTCTTTGCGAATTTAGAAAGTGCCTCTAAGCTGTTCTCGACTATGAATGAGAATAAAATAATCAGCACATATGCAAATGAAAGTATGAATATACTGTAAATAATATTATACCGATCATTGCGCTTTCGTCCTCTTCCTTAAGAAGCATAGTTAGTTTTTCAAGATGTGATCGAAATATAACCGGAAATCGGGATGAGATTTCCTATCGATATTGAAAATGATGAAATTTAGTTCATCTGTTTAAACTCGCACAAAAATTTTTGATGAATTTCAAATCACCGTAAACAGCTCATAAGCGATTGAGTGAGCATTTTGTTCACCATCAGATTTAATTTTGTTCATAAGCAAAGGAACCAAATCTCTATTAATTATTGTTAAGCTAATGCGTCGTATTAAAATCGATAATGTTTCAAATGATGATGCAGCTATCTGTTCAACCCTGTTAAGTGCATCCTTCTAGAAAAATATAAGTTATGTGAATTCATTTGCATTAAGAATAAATTTAGAACTATTTAAAGAAACAAAAAATTTTAAAAAGTATATTTACGGCAGAACTTCGTACAGTTTTATAATCTGACTGTGGATTCATACAATCTCGG